AAATCATTGCGGCACGCGATTTTGGCGCTCGATGCCGTTCCAGTTACAGAGTATATAGTTCAATGGGATATACTTGTCCTTTTCAAATTTCATATTTAGCGCCTCAGATTTATTAGTTCTCATTTTAGTCACCCAGTGATGGCGCTGCAGATGTTGGCTTCAATTTTTATATTAAATATTATACGACGCTAGCAGTCCAGGTTTAAATGGTCGAAGGCTCAGTACACAAAACATAAAGATCTACACCATTATGAAACAAGAGACAACAATAACCTTATAACAGATCATTTTTGGTTAAAGTTATCACAAAATATTAAGTCTCACAAATTTTACAATAAACTGCCCCCAAAAATATGGTTTTTACCACTACACCAATTTAAACTAGTCATCAAGCAACTGTTGATATCTCACTCCTTTTATTCTTACGATGAGTTTTTAAACTGTAAACTTTAATTTGAATTGTAACCTGTTTTTAACTTCACTCCAATACAACCTTGACATGTGTAAGTACAATGTGTACTGTATAACAACACGAATTATATATTACTACTATTATTATTATTATCATGTAGGAGTTTGAACCCTGTCAGTTCCATCATCGTTACCTTCTGGTTGGCTCATGAAGAGTTCAACATCGACCTCTCCATAAAGGCAACCACTTTTGACGTAAAATGGAATCATTTTGAGTCCTTCACGTGCACACACACACTCACCAGAGAACGCACAGGGTTCCATCTCATGGTAGAGCTGAAGTTTCAGTGAAATCAATCCCTTCACGTTGTACTTGACCTTCGACGCCCACCGACAGTCACTTACCTACTTATCAACCGGCCTAGGAACTAGGTCCCAAATGTGATTTTCATTGAGCGCATTTACCTCCTCACTAATTGTCACTTTTCAATTTTTGCCTTGAGAAGTTTCAATGGCTTCGGCGTCTGTAAAAGGTTCAGCTTCATAAGCTATCATCGTGTAGCACTCTCAGGTTCCACTTACTGCACGGTCCTTCAAGTTCCTCGACATCTTCAATTTGGATCTGTCTTGGAGTTTCCACTGTCATTTTCCTCTATTTTCCCTCGAATGAGTCTTCAATCTTTAGTGTTTGGAATTTTGAAGTTGGTCCTGATGTCAACAAACTTGACCTTGATTGCACAAGGTCCTGAAAAATTCCCCTTTCCTCACTTCCGTTCCCCTTCCTTAACAAAATAATGCGCGCCTTCGAAAAATCAAACTGCACCTGTGTTTTCCAACCGGCGAAATCACGTCATTACCTTGAACATTAATTAGCGTACGCAGCGATAACAGTTCTTATCGCAATAACCGGAGAAAAACATGGGGTAAACTTATACAAATACTACGCAAATAATTCCTAACTGAATAAATCTAGTCAATTCCAATTCACAATCACGAAACAGAATATACAAAACAATTATTTAAACAAAAACATCAATAATTAAATAATTCAGATACATCAACATTGTCCTAGCCTCCATTGTATCTGACAGTATGAGTATGTGTTTAACTACATTTGTATAATTTTTAGGGTGAAGAAAATATTGATTTTATGCCTACTATTTTATCCCGTTTTGACATGATCTTCATTGTCAAGGATGAGCACAACCGAGAAAGAGACATGGTAAGTTGTACTATAAACCACTACAAGCAGCTTAACGTTACGTTATCCACAGATACTCGCCAAACATATTATGAACGTTCACCTAAATGCCGACCAATTTGACCAAGAACCGCGAGGAGAGGAATTATCGTTAGAATTGATCAAGAAGTATATTAAGTTTTGCCGCAGGTACAAAATGGTCTGCGAAAAAGTCTGTGATAAATTGCTCTATTTGTAGCCGTTGTGGCCCGCGCCTAAGCGAAGACGCAGCGGCCCAATTACAAAGAAGTTACGTTAAGATGCGTTCGGGCGCTAGTCAGCACGAACGTGAAATTGAAAAAAAAAACGTTATCCCAATTACGGTCCGACAGTTGGAAGCCATCATTCGTATGTCGGAGAGTTTGGCTAAAATGCAGTTATTGCCTTTCGCAACTAAATCTCACGTAGATGAGGCACTACGCTTGTTTCAGGTATCCACTTTAGACGCGGCTATGAGTGGAAGTCTTATAGGTATACTTGGTGCGATTAACTAAAGACGTCATCTAAAAAGGTTGTTTTAGGAGCGGAAGGATTTACAAGTGAGCACGAACATGAGATGCTAGTGCGCATTGAGAAACAATTAAAAAAGAGATTTGCCATCGGTACACAGGTAACCCAAGAGGCAGTAATACAAAGTTTTATTCAACAACAATATCCGGAAATGGCAATTAGAAAAGTGATTCATGTTATGATTGGTAGAGGGCAACTTCAACATCGATGTCAGCGTAGAGTCTTATATCGTCTGAGTTAAAACTACCGTCATCATTGGAGGCTGTGCTTTCAACAAATCACCAGTGATTTTTTTTAAACAATCATATTTTATAAGTGTACTTGGATATTTGTGATTGTGTTGTTCATATTTCAATCAATATGTACATTATTTTTTTATGAAGAGTAATAGAGAATTAAGAAAATCAATCCCTAGTATCTACTGGTTGTATGGTCTATTTTTATAAAATAATAGAAAAAACTTAGACGGCTTTTGCTAGTTTTTTCCTAAGGCAGGTTTTTTTCCAATTCATCACTGCATCTTGTGCCCGCTGGCGGACCATGCGTAAGCAATATGAGAGAGAAGGGAGCTCTAATTAACTTTTCTTCTGTTAGGTATGTGGGTCTGTTTGTGAGATGATCGACTTTAACATGTGCTGCTTGCATTTTCACCTGTACTTTTTGTCTATGTTTATACCAGGTTTTTTTTGTCCAATGCTGGTTTGATTTTTTCCTGTCTTATACACAAAACTCTTCGTTTTGTTCAATTCCCTTCCCATAGCGTAGAAGTCCTGTTTGCACTACCTAGTTCGAGGTGACTGTTACAGAGATTTGAAAGTGGCGCAGAGCGTCTGTTATTTTGTTAACTCAGTTTTTTTAGAAAAGTTGGAAAAAAGGGGCGTTTTTTAATTGCTTGTAAACATTTTTCTATTGGGCCGATTTTGTTTGTTTTTCTTATCGCCGCAGATATTTGTTTTCTTTAATTTACTAAAGAAGTGTTATTCATGAAATATGGGCCGTTTTCTAGTTTTAAGCGAAAAACTGAAATAGTCCGAACATTAATTTTGAGGTTTTTTGGCTGCCAAAAGTTGTGCCGGGAAAAAATTTGTGTGCACTCTTCAAATACATGTTATTTGGACCCTAATGGACCATTTAAAACAATAAAATCGTTTACACCACCTTTTGCAGGAATCGGCCCTTCTGACAGCTCTGCATACTGGACTAAGTTAGAAACTGATAAATACAATCATTATATCACCCATTGATCAGTGGCAATATCTTTACTTAGGTTGTAAAAATGTGGGGAAACATTTAATATCAGGAAACTGAAGTTTCGGAAAGAAAATTGTATGTTCCAATAGAGAACGATATTTTTAATGAGAAACTGTAATTTTTGAAAGGAAACTATATTTTATAAGGCAACTGTAATTTACTCAAAAGAACTGCAGCTACTAACAGGAATCTGTCATTTCCAAAAGAAAACTGTATATAGTAAACGTAAACTATAAACATAAGGGAACTGTAAATTCTAAAAGAGAACTACCTAACCTACCTACGTACTAGAAGAAACCTGTACTTTCTGGTAATGAAGTTTGAGTGTAAGATGGTGTGCGCACATGAATTATCACTGTTATCATTTATGACAAAAGTATTTACATTGATTATACACTTACACAGGTATAATGCTGTTCTCCAAAGTAGTACCTAAACCAGTATTGAAATTTCGTACACCAAAGATTTTCTTTACGAAAGAAATTTCTTGAGATTCTCGGAAATCTCTTACAATCCTCTGAATCGTAAGAAATTTCTTGGATTAGCTTGGAGATGAGAAAGGAACATTGAAATCGTACGACGAGCTTTCAAATCCCGAAATCCTTTGTGTACCACTAGGATCACGGATTTTAAGACATACGAAGCTATTATATGGAGACGAAGTTCCGCATTTAGGGACCCAATTTAACGGTCCTTAGAAGTAAAGGAATTCAGAATACATTTGGAGGGAATAGAACAAATTTCTTTTTTTTTATACTTACCTACGTCAAATGTGACATTTCGCTGATCATATTCAAACAACGAAGTATCGTTTCGTTGCTAGGGGCAGAGAAGCAGAATACTTCTCTGCCTCCTTTCCACTTCTCTGCCTCGTTTGATTTCTATGCCTGTGTTGACTAGCCGTTTATATACAAGAAATTCCAGCATACTAATTTTAAAAAAATTAGGTGTATACCACGGACGAATGAGACCCGCTGACTCGTCGGAATTTCCGTACTCGGCGTCTTGGACCTAAAATCTCCGACTTGTCAGCGAAAACTCACTTCTTGTCCTTGATAAACAATATACAGGGTCATTCTTGACGAGCGTCAATTAGAAAGATATGGAAAACCTTTGAAAATTAAGCTAAACTGATAAGTCCTTTAAGGGTTTTGGCACATGATGAATTGAACTAAAATATTTTCAAAATTGCGCCACTTCCGGAAATACCGGAAGTAGCCATCAACTTTGTTATTTTAAATAGGGACCCCCTATTTTTTCTACATTTTCGGATTCTACGTCGAATTTGGAGTACAACGATACCCCATAGTTGACCCTTTGCTCCAAGGCTTCGCCGATATTCAAGTTTTTGTGTCAAAAATTGAATTTGCAGGGGTAATTTTAAAAATTTATTATTCGAAAACGGTGAGAGATATTGCAAAACAGTTTTCAATGCTTTATTAAGGAAAGATCGAATTTTCTTATGGTATGCGTAACAGTCTAAAAAA